GGAGGGGAGTGGGGGCGGGTGGTTAGAGCAGGGGGCTGGGGGCCAGGTCTCCTGGGTTCTCTCCCTGGCTCTGGGAGGGGAGTGGGGTCTGGTGGTTAGAGCAGGGGGCTGGGGGCCAGGTCTCCTGGGTTCTCTCCCTGGCTCTGGGAGGGGAGTGGGGTCTGGTGGTTAGAGCGGGGGGCTGGGGGCCAGGTCTCCTGGGTTCTCTCCCTGGCTCTGGGAGGGGAGGGCGGTGGGGGTCTGGGCCCATCTCACCCCATCTGCCCCCCCCCAGGAGGCAGCCCAGCTCCTGCAGATCCTGCAGGCCTTGCACCCGCCGCTGCACATTGACGGCAAGACCATCAACGTGGAGTTTGCCAAGGGCTCCAAGCGGTGAGTGCAGGGGAGGGGGCCCCCACCCTATCCCACCCCACCCCACCCCACCCCACCCACTGACACTCCCTTGCCCCACCCCCCACAGGGACATGGGCTCCTCCGACAGTAACCGCATCAGCGCCGCCTCCGTCGCCAGCACTGCTATCGCTGCGGCCCAGTGGGCCATCTCCCAGGTAACCCGCCCTGCCCAGGGGCTTGTGGGTAACTCTCCCGCGGGGGTGTGGGGCAGTTTGGAGTGTGTGTAGGGGGGTGTGAATCCCTGGGACTCCCTGCTGCAGTGGCATGGGGAGGGCGTTAACCCCCAGGATTCCCTGCTGTGGGGGTGGGGCCTGGCGGTGTTAATCCCCAGGACTCCCTGCTGGGGGCTGGATGGGACTGGCTGGCAGCAGGCCCCCACACCTGGAACTGTGTCCCTGCCCCCACGGCAGCCGAGGGGTGAGGGCTGGTGGTACCTTATGCCCCCCTAACCCTGCTCTCTGCCCCCAGGCATCACAGGGCAGTGAGGGGGCCTGGGCGGCCTCGGAGGAGCAGCCGGCCGACTACGCCTACTACCAGCAGGAGGAGGCCTACGGCGCGGAGCCGGCGCTCTACTCCCATGCCTACCTGAAGGGCTCTCCGGCCCAGCCCGGCGCCAACGGGGAGGCCGCAGCCACAGGTGAGAGCGGGCGTGGGACATGGGGCCGGCCCCTCGCGCCCCCTTCCCACCGCCTGGGGGCCGGGATGGGGCAGGGGTTGGATCCCCTGTTGTGGTCAGGTTGGCTTGTGGCAGCCTCTTACCCTCGCCATGGGGCTCTGTGGGGTTCTCCCCTCCCCCGCCTGCTTCACTTAGAAGCTTTAAAATGTCTTGGGGTCCTGGCGCCCAGCCCTCCTCCCCCCCCAAGCACTAGCTCCCACTCCCCCCCGGAGCCAGGGAGAGAACCCAGGAGTCCTGGCTCCCAGCCCCCTGCTTTAACCACCAGCCCCCACTCCCCTCCCGGAGCCAGGGAGAGAACCCAGGAGTCCTGGTTGGCTCCAGCCTGGGCTGTGGGTCTCTGGGGGCCCCCTCTCACCCCAGCTCTCCCCTGCCCTGGCAGTCGCGGAGCCGTCCCTGGAGCCTGGCGTGCCGGGCGTCGACTCGCTGCCCGTCCTGCAGAGCTTCCCCCACGCCGCCCAGACCACCGCCGTGCCCGTCGTGTACCAGCCGCCCGGCGGAGCCGAGACTGCGGGCACCGCCCAGGGCACCGCTGCCACTGCCCAGGTAGGCCTGTCAGCCTGGTCTCGGGGCAGGGGTCTGCCCTCCCTGCTCGGGGGCTGGCTGGGGCTCTATGGGGGAGGGGTCTCTCCTCCCTGCTCTGGGGCTGGCTGGCGCTGTGGGGGGGTGTTCTCCCTGCTTGGGGGCTGGCCAGGGCTATATGGGGGGGGTGTCTCCTCCCTGCTCGGGGGCTGCCGGGGCTGTGGGGGTAGGGGGGCTCTCCCTGCTTGGGGGCTGCCCGGGGCTGTATGGGGGGGGGGGTCTCCTCCCTGCTTGGGGGCTGTATGGGGGGGGCTCTCCCTGCTCAGGGCTGCGTGGGGGGGTGTCTCTGCTCCCTGCTCTGGGTTGGGGGGTCTGCCCGGGGCTGTAAGGGGGGTTTCTCCCCAGGGTGTCCCCACCCTGCTCTGGGTCGGGGGCTCTCCTGGCGGTCTCCCCACTGCCGGCTGTCCTGCGCAGAGCCAGCCCTACACCATTGTGTCCCCGGCCGTGCTGAAGCCCGAGACGCCGAGCCCAGCCCAGCCGAGCGGCGCCGCCCTCCCTGCGCCCAGCACCGGCCTGCCCCTGCCCACCCCCACGCTGCAGGAGCCCTACGGCCAGTACCGTGAGTGGAGGGCTGGGGGGGGGGTCCATCGGGGGAGGGGCCTTGTTGGGGCTGAGTGGGTCTCTGCTGTATTGGGGGGTCTCTGGGGGGTCGGAGGGCCATGCTTCATGTGGGGTGATGTGGGGGCTCCGGGGGTGTGTGTGCCACATAGGGAGGATGTGGGGGGGTTGGAGGGCTGTGTTTTGTGGGGGAGGATGTGGGGGGTCTGAGGGGGTGCCACATTGGGAGAGGGTTGGAGGGCTGTGGTGTGGGGGGGCTGTCGGGGAAGACATGCTATGTTGGGAGGGGTGTTGGGGGGGCCGGGATGTCGGCCCTCTCGGCCCCCCTGGCTGAGCCCCGCTCTGCACCCCCCAGCTGTCCCAGACGTATCCACCTACCAGTACGACGAAACCTCCGGCTATTACTACGACCCGCTGACCGGTCTCTATTATGACCCCAACTCCCAGGTGAGCTGGGGGGGATGTAGCCTGTGGGGGGGAGGGTGCAGACGGGGGGTGGGGGGACACACAGCCTGCAGCGCCTGACGCCCCCCATCTCTCTGGCCCCACAGTACTACTACAACGCACAGAGCCAGCAGTATCTGTACTGGGACGGCGAGCGCAGGACCTATGTGCCGGCCTCCGACCAGGGCGCCGACGCCCACAAGGACGGCTCTGGGGGCAGCGGCAAGGAGGGCAAGGAGAAGAAGGAGAAACACAAGACCAAAACAGCTCAGCAGGTGGGTGCTGCCTGCCCCCTGGGAGCGCTCTGTCCTGGCCCCCTTTGGGGTCTGGGTAGGACAGGGCCTTTCCGCACCCGCTGCTCAGCAGAGGTTGTCCCCACCCCACAGGGAGCTGCATGGTCCCCTTTTCCATCCAGCCTGTTAAGTAGTTTGCCTCTAGATGCACAAGAGGTGTTGCCAGCCCAGCCTTCGCTGGCATGATGCAGCCACCTCTGGGGCAGGACAGCAGGGGAACAGCTGCATGTAACGCCACATGGGGATGCCTCATATGGTGCTGAGATGCAGCCAGCTCTGGGGCGGGGCAGCTGGGGAACAGTCGCACGTAAGGCCGCATGGGGATAACTTGCTCGGCGCTGAGATGCAGCCAGCTCTGGGGTGGGGCGGCTTGGGACAGAAAGCAAAGGAGAATCCTGCAGCCTGTCTACGAGCTTTCCCCCCTGCCCCCCATCATGGGGTCAGTGCCCCACTGACGGCCCCCTGCCCCCCACAGATCGCCAAGGACATGGAGCGCTGGGCCCGCAGCCTCAACAAACAGAAGGAGAATTTCAAGAACAGCTTCCAGCCGATCAGCTCGCTGCGGGAGGACGAGCGGCGCGAGTCGGCCACGGCCGACGCCGGCTACGCCATCCTGGAGAAGAAGGTACTGCCGGCACGGGGGAAAACCCCGGAGCCCTTCCCACCGGTCCCCCCGCAGCATGGGGTCCAATGGGGGAGGTGGGTGTGGGGAGAACCCGCCAGGGCCCCTGGCTGAGCTGAACTGCTGTGCTTCTCCCCTAGGGGGCGCTGGCAGAGAGGCAGCACACGCCCATGGACCTGTCCAAGCTGGCCAGCGATGACAGGCTGGTAAGTGCCCTGTGCTGCAGGATGCCTGGGTCCCCTCCCAGCTCGGGAGGTGGGGGGGGGGGGGGAAGGTAGGGTCTAGTGGTTAGAGCAGGGGTGGGCTGGGAGGCAGGACTCCTGCGTTCTCTCCTGGCTCAGGGAGGGGAGTGGGCACTAGTGGTTAGAGTGGCAGGGGGTGGCTGGGAGCCAGGACTCCTGGGTTCTCTCCTGGCTCGGTGGGGGGTTGGGGGGGGGCTGGGAGTCAGGACTCCTGGGTTCTCTCCTGGCTCAGGGAGGGCGTGGTGTGTAGTGGTGAGGGGCCCCCATGCCCAGCTGGCCCCATGGCGCTGTTTCCCCGCAGAGCCCGCCGCGGGGGCTGGTGGCCGCGTACAGCGGGGAGAGCGACAGCGAGGAGGAGCCGGAGCGGGCATCCGACCGGGAGGAGAAGCTCACGGACTGGCACAAATTGGCCTGTCTGCTCTGCCGCCGGCAGTTCCCCAGCAAGGAGGCGCTGATCCGCCACCAGCAGCTCTCCGGGCTGCACAAGGTGTGTGTGGGGGGGTCACGGGGCCTGTCCCCTCCAGGGGGTGCTGGCTTCCATCAGCCCCAGGGCAGGGACTGGCTGGCTCATGGGGTGGGGAATGGGGCCCGGGGACCGGCCCCTCTAGGGGGTGCTGGCTTCCATCAGCCCCAGGGCAGGGACTGGCTGGCTCATGGGGTGGGGAATGGGGCCCGGGGACCGGCCCCTCTAGGGGGTGCCAGCCCCGATTCAGCCCCCGGGTTTCCCTACCTACCTTCTTCTTTGATTGCAGCAAAACCTGGAGATTCACCGCCGCGCCCACCTGTCTGAGCAGGAGCTGGAGGCGCTGGAGAAGAACGACATGGAGGTGGGCAGGGGGCCGGCGTGGCAGGGTAGAGCGGGGGGGCGGATGGGATGATGGAGGGGCCATGCTGCACCAGGACAGTGGGGAAGGAGGAATGCAGGGGCTTGGGGGTCGCTGACTCCAGGGAGGGGTTGGGGGCACAGTGGAGGAGTGGGGGGTACAGTCAGGGGGTGGGGCTGGGGGCTCACCTTGGCTCTAATGGGCCCCTCCCCTGGCAGATGAAGTACCGGGACCGCGCGGCCGAGCGCAGGGAGAAGTACGGCGTCCCCGAGCCCCCGGAGCCCAAGAAGCGGAAGTACTCAGCTGTGATGCCCGCCACTGTGTAAGCCCCGCCCCTGCCATGCTGCCCCGCCCAGTCAGGGTGGAGCTCTGCCCTCCAGGAGCGCCCCTCTCCAGAGGTGGCAGTATCTCAGCGCTGGCTGAACTGTCCCCGTGCAGCGTTATGTGCGGTTGTTCCCCAGCTGCCCCGCCCCAGAGGTGGCCACATCCCCATCTCGGCCATTGACCCTTTGCTCTCCCCGCAGAGACTTTGAGCAGCCGACGCGGGACGGGCTGGGCAGCGATAACATTGGGAGCCGCATGCTGCAGGCCATGGGCTGGAAGGAGGGCAGCGGCCTGGGCCGCAAGAAGCAAGGCATCGTCACCCCCATTGAGGTACCGGGGGCAGGGCGAGTGGGGCACCCCGTGGCCCCTGGGGTGGTTCCGAGGGGCAGGTCCCTGATCTCACCAGGTCTCCCCCTCCCCAGGCGCAGACCCGAGTGCGCGGCTCCGGCCTGGGTGCCCGTGGCAGCTCCTACGGCGTCTCGGCCGCCGAGTCGTACCGCGAGACGCTGCACAAGACCATGCTGACCCGCTTCAACGAGGCTGAGTGAGGCCCCACCCCTCGAGACTTCCCCTGCAGGGGGCACCATGAACTTTTTTTTAATTAAAGGAGAAAAATGACTGTGTGTCCCTGCGCCCCCTGCTGGAGGGGATGGGCCCTGCGCTGTGTGGGTCCCTGCGCCCCTGCTGGAGGGGACGGGCCCTGCGCTGTGTGGGTCCCTGCGCCCCCTGCTGGAGGGGACAGGCCCTGCGCTGTGTGTGTGTGTCCTTGCGCCCCCTGCTGGAGGAGACGGGCCCTGCGCTCTGTGTGTGTGTCCCTGCGCCCCCTGCTGGGAGGGGACGGGCCCTGCGCTGTGTGGGTCCCTGCGCCCCCTGCTGGAGGGGGCGGGCCCTGCGCACTGTGTGTGTGGCCCTGCGCCCCCTGCCGGAGGGGGGGGGC